TAAACTCTGTGCTTCTTAAAGGAAAAGAAGGGTTGGGGCATAGGTCATTGACAGGTACTTTCCTAGCATGCATAAGGCTTGGGTTCATTCCCTATCACTATAAAATGAATAAGCAAACAAATAGCTGCGAAAAAAGGGAAGGGGGAATTAGTTATCCTTAATCCCTCCCTCTTCCAGAGATGCCCATCCAGATCATGATGGTTTGTGAGCTTTGGGTTTGAGTGTCTTATCCTGGATCATCATTCAGAACTGAGAGAATAGTGGGTAAGAGTAAGTTGGGTTCTGACTTTGAGTTCTAATCCTATCACTGTTTGGCCTTGTTTGAATCTCTAAAACTCAGCAAGTAGTAAATTTTTATTTTTCTTATTTTGTTCTTTCTTTCTCTTCCCTTCTACCCTTACTCCTTGTCATTTTGTTTCCTTATTGTATATCTCAGCGTGAAAATAATACGGTGTAATGTCAGTGATAAGTAAGCGTGTAATTCTAGAGTACAGTTGCTAAGAATTAAATATGAACTGTCATGGTTACATGACACATGTTATTGTCCACTTTTCTTTTAACAAAGTGTCATTAAATTTGAAAGATTGTTGTTACACATGAAGGTATGGGTCAATATCCTATTTTTTTAAAGTGTGGAAAATTCAATTAAATTGTGAATTAATAATAATATTATTACTATTTGTGGTGTGCATGAGTGTATGTGTACATGCACACATGTATATCTGTGCGTGTGAGTGGTACATGATGTAACTGGTAGTCAGAGGACAACTCTGGGGAGTGGGTTCTCTACTTCCATTGTGCAACCTGAAGGCTGAACTCTGGTTACCAGGCTTTATTATTAAAAATAATAGTTATTTTGTTGAATGTTTGATGTATCTATTGTTTTGTTTCTTTTTGTTTTGGGGACAGGGTTTCTCTGTGTGGCCCTGGCTGTCTTGGAAATCATTCTGCAGACCTCACAGAGATTCACCTGCCTCTGTCTCCTGAGTGTTGTGATTAGGAGTGCGCCCCACTGTCCATCTGTTTGCTGTGACTTACAGGAGAGAGCCTAGCACATGTCTCTGTTACTTCTTTTAATAAACTTTCTGCTTTTGAAAAATGCCAAAAAAGCTATTATTCCTGTCTTCTATCATCTTTTCAAGTGTTTACCAGCTGATGACGAATGTGACAGAATCAGTAAGCACCGTTGGCTTACTTGCCAGTCTTAATTATTTGAGTTTAGAGCTGGAAAATGTATTCCTCCTAACCGTTTATTTGCCCATAATACCAGAACTTATTATGAATAATTACATCTTTTTTGTGAATATGAATAATCATAAATTAGAATTCTGGAGATTATAAGTTGCTAAATATGAAATTGTAATAAATGTATATTGGAGATTTGTTGCCCCCCAGGATGGTCATTGTGAAAGAAAATCTCTGGAGCTTGATGCTAAGGTCACAAGAAGAAAGGTTTGCTTGGTATTGTTGGTGGTTTAGTGACTAGACATATTTGTTAAGTTGGTAAATATGCCATTTGGGGAAAATTTCTTAGACCTATTATGACAGTAGATAAAGATATTTCACTGTTACCTTGAAAAATATACAAGAAGGGAGGGAATAGTTATATTGTGAACATAACTGGTGAGAAGACATTTTTCTCTATTTAAAAATAATGACAACATGAGTTTCCAACCAAGTCCTAAAATTTAAATTAGAAATGTCATGAATCAATTACTGTTAAAATCCTAGTTGCATTTTATATGATGTTCTTAGGTTAGTGAGTATAGAATTTCTGTTTTTGCCCATTTTCAAGTTGGACCTGGTACTTAGGGCAGCATGTGTGTGTGGACTTCATTATTACAGGTGCATGGGTTTCCTGCAGTGGCCTTTTTTCTGTTGGGTAAAGACTGTTTCCAGCAGTGTGTTTGTTTGGTCGGCTATCTCCAGGATAATTGGGTGTGGGGATAGAGCACTTCTAATGCCTTTTAAGTACTGCTGTCTTAGCTCTCATCTTGACCTGGAAGATGGCAGGCCTGGGTGAGCTAAGAGTGAGATTTCTGACTGATATACAGCCCCAGGTGGGCGGTGCCTGGGAGCCTGCTGTCTTTGCAGCTCCTGTTCTCCAGCAGATCTGTCAGCTGGGGAGCTCGTGTTCTAATTTAGGATTACTAGGATCATTCCAGCTCAAACCTAGCCCTGTGTGGTTTTAGACAAGAAAACTGCATCTCTTTAAACCCATTTTCCTCTTCCGAATATTGGGGAAAGTTCTGTGTGTAAGGATTGAAGTGGTGCTGAGTTGTGTTCAGCACGGTAAGGGACGGTCGCCTTTCAGGACACACTCCCACCATTCCTCTGCCTGCCGTGTCTACTGTGGATGATCCACTCCTGAAATAGATAATCAGCAAGGTCTTTAAAGGGTTTTCATTTTTTCCTGAATAGAGGTGGATGAGCTGGCACACAACCTATAGTTCTAGCACTGGGGAAGCTCAGGTTGAAGGATCATGGGGTTGAGGCCAACCTAGGCTGCATAGTGAGATTCTGTCTCAATGAAATAAAAATGGTGCAAGTAAGATGATTTAGTAGCAAAGGTTTTTGCTACTAGGCCTGATGACCTGAATTCTATCCTAGGAACCCTTTCAACCACATGGAGGGTAAAAGGAGAGAATCAACTATTCTAAGCTGTTCTCTGACCTCTACACCTGTGCCATGGCATGTGAGATCCCCCCTCCCACTCGATTAAAAATTACAATAAAAGAAGCCAAAGTAAGCAAATAAAAGTCTTTTCTGGAATACTTTAAAAAAATTGTAAAACAGGTTTGGGGGTACAGTTCAGTGGGAGAATGCTTTCCTGGAACCCATGAGACTGTGTACTGAATATGAGAATTGATGACAAGCGAGCTTTGTTAATTTGGTGCTAGAGAATGCTGATCTGGTCCTTACTCTGTTGCCTCGGATCTGTGTGATTCTGTGATTCCGCAAACTAAACACTCCAGAAAGAAACTTATATTTGTGTCTAGGTATTCTACCCAATTGAAGAACACTTGCCTAGCATGTTCAAAGGTCTTGGGTTCAATCCCCAGGACTGCCAGTAAGGAAAAACAACAGCAAAAATGCCAAGAGAATCCTAAATTGAACTATTGAGGTCATGTAATGAACATGTGATGTGGGTCTTTTCTCTGAGCACACACGGTGGCACAGTCTGATAGAACTAGTGTGTATAGTAATTTCTTTGAGTAGAGAACTTGCTGCCGTAGAGCCAGCCCACTTTCCTGAGAACCTTAGACAAGAAGGTGTTTTAACAGATCTTACTGTAGAGATGATAGTATCTGCCCTTCAGGAGTGACCTGAGAATTACTGTGACAGTTGTAATAGGAACAGGTCAGAGGAGCTCAATAAATGGCAGCTACTTTCATTGTGTTTTATAAAATGTGCTCAGGTCTTTCTGTGGTTTCTTCTCTATGTTGTGAAACTGTTGAGCAACAAGTTCTGTCCTGGAGCAGCAGGCACTTCACCACTGTATTGGCCGTGCTCAGCCTTTAATAAACACTCAGGTTGGAAATGGGTGGTGTTTTCATTGCTTAGGAGGGTCGCACCGTTTCTTACACCATTTGCTTTCTTTGATTTTGTGTCCTGGATTCACATGCCTTTTCTAAATAACCCCAGTATTCTCTACCTTGTGAGTGAGTTGTGTGCTGTAGCTAGTAAGCAGGAAATGCTGGGTCCCAGGTCTATCTGATTTCAAGCAAAGCTCTTTTTGTTTATAATACACTTGTACTAATTGTAGAGCTTTTCCCAGTGTAAAACAAGGAGCCAGCAGGGAGGAACAAACACATGGCTTGTGTATAAGATTTGTGGAGTGTTTCAGTAGAACTCAAGCATCCACCTTCAGTGTTTGTTTAATTTGTTTGTATGTGTTACCGTTTTTGTCACTAAATGAATTGACCTTAAATTAAAATATTTATTAGTGCTGGGTGGTGGTGGCACATGCCTTTAATCCTAGCACTTGGGAGGCAGAGACAGATCGTTGAGTTTGATGCTAGTCTGGTCTACAGAGTGAGTTCCAGGACAGCCAGGGGGGAATATATATAGTCTGGTAGTTACTATATTAGCTATCAAATATGCTCATTTTCTCATTACATTTTCTAAGTTCCTTTGAAAGCAACAAGTTTTTTGTTTTTGTTTTTTTGTTTGTTTTAAGGGTGGAATGGAGTCAGTGAGTTAAGCTTTTAATTCTTAGTTTTGTTGCCATGTTTGTAAAGTCCAGAATGAAAAGTTACAGGTCACAGAATTCTCAAGTTTTTCTCTGAGTAAGCAGAGATGTTGATGCTAAAACAACTTGTTTCAAGCAGTTTTAATTGCCTGTATCACTTCCCTTTCTTGTTTCTTTGCCTCATTCTCTTAAAAGTCTCCTGCAATTTTACTTCATAGAAGTGTAAAACTGAATTCACACAATGAACGTTGGAGTCACCAAAGGTTTTCAGTAGTGGCATCCTGGTCTTATGAAAAAAGTGTGCAATTTGGTAGCCAACAAACTGAACCTTAAAATCCTGGCTCTTCCCTCCTGTGCTGTGTGTTATTGTGCGAATTATTCAACGATGGAATCTTCAGTTTTTTTCTATTGTGGTGTTGGGGTAGGGGCTGCATTCAGAAGGCTTGCTATCGTAGTTTCTTAAGCGATTGAGACTGTATGAGATAGACCAGAATTACACTCTCTGAGTGGTCATGCTCTACACTCAAACTCATGGTTCCCTCTAGTGGGTTTTCATTTAAGCATTCTGTCCCTCTTGATTCTGTTTACTGTATCCTGTGAAATGAGTGGTTTGGCAGCACAAAGTCCCTGCCCAGAAGACAGAAAGGGGCCCTGCTCCCCAGCGTTAGGAAATTTAGGACTCTCCCTGCCCTCTAAATTGCATGGGTGCTCCCCTGCCCCGACTAACCCTCAAGCTGCCCGTGTGAAGGAGTGACTTGTTGCGGCCTCTAACTGCTTCTTCTCTTCCTTCCTTTTTGTCATCCTGCAGTGTTCTGTGCCAAGGTCTTTGTGGCTAGGCTGCGCCAACCTGGTAGAGAGCATGTGCGCACTGAGTTGCCTGCAGAGCATGCCCAGTGTCAGATGTCTCCAGGTGCCTCTCTTCTTTCTTGTTGTAAATGTGTTTTTACGTATGCCATGAACATTTGTTGAAACTTGCAGTAGTGTGTTTAATCCAATGTTAAGTCTGCTAAATGTTCTGTGTAACCCTCTGCTCTCCTCCAGCCTGGACCCCATGAGGAGTACTAAGAGGGCCCTTCCGAGCAAACAGATCTCGAAGGGCCCTTTCTTGCTCCCCTCTTCTGCTCTTCCTTTTAATTCCTCCCCCTTCAAAGTTGTGATTCTCATGTTTAATAGTTAAAACTTTGAACCACAAAACAGAATACTCTGATATCTCCCATTTGGCACCTCTAACAGTTTTGAGTTGGGAGGGTTTATAATTAAAATGATGATTTTTCTACTTTGAAACATCTTTTGGTTTGCCTTTTCTCCTCCATTCCAAAAAGGGTGTGGGGGGGATAATCACTAGTTAACACTATTCTTTAAACCCCAAATTGAGGTTTATAAAGACCACAGCTTTATTCTGCTGGGAACCATCAGTCTGAGCCAATTTCAAAAAAAATGGCCAGCTCTGATACCTGTCCTCAGGGTCCACCCAGTTTTCCAGGCCAAGGCCGGCAGAGAATTCCACAGATAAAAGTAATATTGGGTGGGGCTGTTGGGGGGTGGGAGTGGGGGTTGCTCAGGATAACATTGTTAGCAGGAGAGTATAGTTGGTGACCTCTCCTGATGACTTTGGATAAAATCAAGGCCAAAACCGTCATGGCTTTACCTGGGAAGCTCTATTTAGAGAGTGTGTTTAATTAAATGTGTCAGTAGCAGTATCAGCTTTTATTACTGCATAGTTCATACAATTTGGTATAGCTTTCTTTTCAAAGCAGCATTAAATTCCTGGTGTCCTGCTGATGCTGCCCAGATTTTAGGAAACAGTTATTGGGATATTGATGCCATGGCTGATTTCACTGTTCTTTCTCAAGGCTTTCAGTTCCTGGGTACAGTCTCTAAATGATGCTGAGGGTTTGGAAGGCAAGTTTCTTTTATATTGATGTTGGGCTTATTTGTTTATTTGCTTATTAGCAGCCTCTGAGTAGCACTGGTGTGGTAATTGACTGAAATTGCTATCTTTAGAAAATTGTGCTGGCGCTTAATTAACTGCTAGCTGGGGTTTAGAGTTGGCATACATAGTTGTTAGGTTCTATGGAAGAAGATAGGATACAGAATCCAGTGTTTCACTCAGGCCCGTTGCCTTGAAAGGACAGACAGTATTGCAGTGCTCTCTCTCCTTAGTACCACGGAATGGGCATTTGCATTATAAAAGTCTGTCTCTTCACTGGGTCCTTGAGAGTTGCCCTTCGTTTGTTGTGGGCTGACCCAGTTTTAGCCAGAGCTGGCAGTACAAGTAGGGAAAGAATTGTACTTATGAAGTCTAAGTTATTAACTGGAGGTTTTCTTTGCTGTGTCAGTTAAAGTAACTATGCGGTATAAGGCACCAGTTAGTGTGTCGGTACTGGTGCTTTGGGTTCTCTGAGGTGCTAGGGAGGAAGTACGGGTCCTGAAAATGGCGACATACCTTCACAGTTCTTTAAAATCATCTTCCTCTGAGGAAAAAAAAATGAAATGTTGCCTTCATAGGACTTTGTTTCAGCGCTTGGAAGCAATGCTGCTGTTAGATGCTCGTAGGGAGTTTTGATTATTAAGCTTTTACTTTGACTAGCCTGTAATTGAGGGCATGTTGCTTAGTGAAATGAACCAAGGGGGCCTCACTTATTGGAGTTAGCAAATTATTATTTTGTTCCGTGTGAAAATGAACCTGGAAGATTTCCTTCCTTTTCACTTATTGTTTTATGTATTATTATTGATTACCATTTTATTTATTTATTTATTTATTTATTTATTTATTTATTAAATGTTACCGGAATGCAAACCAGGATTTTTTAAAATTTATTTCTCAGAATTGTATTTATTTATTTACTATGTATACAGTGTTCGGCCTCCACGGATGCCTGCAAGCCAGAAGAGGGCCCCAGATCTCACTGCAGATGGTTGTGAGCCACCATGTGGGTGCTGGGAATTAAATTCAGGACCTCGGGAAAAGCAGTTAGTGCTCTTAACCTCTGAGCCATCTCTCCAGCTCTGGTTACTATTTTAAACAACAACAAATGTGTCTGTAGAGTTTTAATTTTTGCTTTAATTATTGTTTTAATTTTTGGTGGTGGAGATTGAACCCAGGGCCTTGTGTATACTGAGTATGTTCTGTGTTGCTGAGCCGTACTTGGCCCTTGGTTCTGGGTTTGCTCTCTGTATTGGAGCTGTGCTTTGCTACGGTCTCCTGGCCGAAGCACCTGTTGATGTGCTCTGGGTTTGTTCTGTTGCAAAGATGGCTCTCCTTGTTGCTGGATGCCTCAACAGTCACTTAAAAAGGCTCTAGAAGAAGATAGAGTCTTGGTTGACTTTGCTGTAGAGGTCTGATGTTGGCACGCTGGACCCAGCTTTCAGCCCGTTGTCAGAAAGGCTGTCTGTACTTTCTGATAAAGTGGGGTGAACATATTGTGTTTAGGCTTAGTTTAGCTAGTACAGATTTTGCCAGTGGAGAAGAGGGTTAGCAGAATCTTTTACCAACGATATATAGTTCACTATCTATCTATTAGGTTTATGACAGCCTTGTGAGGTGCAGGAGTTACTGTCCCATTTCCTCATGTGACAGTTGAGGCCGATGATGCAGCTAGCAAACTGAGGTGGGAACTGACTGCCTTTCTAAGGTCTGTAGGGCTGTGAAGTGCTGGAGCAGGTGTTTGAGATCAGTCTGCCTCTCTTCCCTCTTTACTTTTTTTTTTTAATTTTCTCTCTCTGGTTTTTTAGCATAGCTTCATTTGTGAAAATTGTAGTAATATATAATGTATGGTTTGTTTAGTCATTATTATTTTAACATAAAAGAAAAAAAGCCTGCTAAATTCAGACATTCCCTTTGCCAAAATGAATCCTCCTGAATCACTAGGAAGCCCGAGTGGGTTTCTGAGAGTTTCCTGCCCTGACTGTGTCCTAGCATGCAATGCATGGGCTGTTCTAGTGTATAGATGAGAGGCACAGATTTGTTTCCTGCTGTCAAGGAACTTACTGCAGTAAGCAGACCCACAAATGAAAATCCAGACTGAAGTACAAATGAAGAGAGAAGGGAAGGGGAGTGTTGGTGCAATAAAGCTCTGCAGTTAGCTAAACCTGTAAATGCTCTTAGGATTGGGTAACCAGTTTAAACTTGATCCCCTCTCCCCTGTTTAGAACAGTTGGTTGGAAAGCCTGAGTATCTCGGAATCTAGCTGGGCTGAGTCAGTGTCCCAGCTTTGTCCAGTTGGTTCTTAGATCAGGTAATCCAAGAAGACTGATTTGCCGAGTCTCAGCCATAATTAACACCGATGATCTTACCTTTTATTTTCACCTTCTTCTATGTGTTGTGACCTAGGATTCTTGTTTGATTTATGGTGTAGAGGACTGAACCTACTAGGCAGGCATTCTCTCACTGAGTCATACCCTTTCCCTTCATTGGCTCCTCTGTGGAGAAATGATTGGGCTGCTGCTTTGTGTATGAAGTTAAAGAATTGGATTGATTTGCCTGAAGTTATATATTTATCTAATCTGGGTTATGAACCTAGATTTGCATGGCTGCCCCAGACTACAGTGACAACTGCCTTCTTTAACTTGGCAACAGTCATTTTAGAATTGAGACAAATTTCCCTTATTTTTAGTGTCAAAACTGAAAAGCTAAAAGTGGAATGCCAGAGGCTCAGTGCAGTAGACTGATAATGGTCCTTAGGGTAGGAATGCTTGTTGGAAACTGCGAGCATCCCGGGAGTCAGCTGTCAGTGCCTCCTTCCTAGCTGCCTCGTGTTGAAACTCAACGGGGAGCCTGTGGGCTGGGAATGCTACTTTTCAACTGGCTGCAGCTTCTGATGGTGGAGCTGTAGGGAGTGAGGTGGCTGGGTAGCTGCAGTTGCTTTCCAGGCTGGTAAACCCAGATTTGTCCTCTTCTGCCTCCTTTAGCCCAGAGCATGTTCCCCTTTAAATGAAAGGAGGAAGGAAGGTAGTTCTTCACCCTGCATGGTTTTCACCGCTTAGGGGACAACACCAAAGGCCTTGTGCTGAAGGCCTGCTTCTGAGGGGGTGGAAAGCCACTTCTTTCTGTGCTTGCTCTATTGAAGAAGAGACCGTTTTATTTGTAGTTCAGAGCCAGTTAAAGAGAATCTAGACCGAGCAGATGATGTGGCCCTTGTTTTCTTGTTCAGGTCCTGTGCTTCTGACCTGACAGTGACTTTTTCCTGTCTTTTTTTCCTGTTAAACATTGAAGAGTTGTTATTTTTTTATGATTATTCATTGTACTTCAGGTCTAAAAATATGAATACCTAGGATGACCTTTGGAATTTCCCAGTCTTTAACGTTTTATGAGCATTAAAAAAAATGACACTTTTTAAGCCAAATGTAGGTTGCACATGCCTATAGTCCCAGCCCTCGGGAGGCAGAAACAGGTGAATCGCTTTAATTTGAGGCCAACCTCCACAGAGCAAGTTCCTGGACAGCCAAGGCTACACAGAGAGACTCTTGTCTTGAAAAACCAAAACAGACAAACAAATGTAAAACAAAACAAAACAAAACCCTCCAATTTCCTCCACCCCAGAAACAAACACAACAAACCATTTTTCCTTTCTGTAAGAAAATTTGCAAAATACAAGTGCCCAGACTGGAGATGTAGCTGAATGAAAGAACACTGCCTAGCAAGCCTAGCATGCACAAAGCCTTGGAGTAATTCTGAGTAGGTCAAAACAAAATAGATCCCTCCTCTCCCAAATCCATCAGTAGCCTCACTACCAGTCACCACCCAGGGGCTTTATTTCACCTGCAGCTGGCAGCTGGGCAGTTCTGATGATGATGGCTGTGTTCCAATGTCCCATGGAGCCCAGTTTGATTTTGGGATCAACAGAGGTATAGAAAAGGCTGGGCATTTTGTCCTTGAACTATTCCTTACCCAGCATACCTCTGGATTGA